CATCCCTAGTAGGGAGTGTGCAGGAGGCAGCTGATCGATGTTTCTCATCGATGTTTCTAACTCTATCCTTCTCCCTTCCTCTCTGTAAAAAATCAATAAAATATGTTTTTTTTTTAAATTCTTTTTGACTCAATATAACAAAAATTAGCTAACCTTCTGAAAAATTAGTATCTAATACCATATCCAAAAAAGTACCTAGGTTCATCTGATTTTTCTGAGAAAATCATTAAGAAGGAAGTAAGAGATCAACCAAAGGACTGATATGCATGCATATAAGCATAACCAATGGACATAAGACACTGGGGGGTAGGGGGGGCCAGGGGATTGTCAAGGGCGGGGGAAAAAAGGAGACATATAATACCCTTTGTAATACTTTAAGCAATAAAAAAAAAAAAAAGAATAGTAAAAATATAAAAAAAAAGGAAATAAGCTTTTTAAAATACATATGTTTTTAGAGAGGAAGGGAGAAGTATAGAGAAGTAGAAACATAAATGAGAGAGAAACATCATTGAGCGGCTGCCTCCTGCATGCCCCCCACTGGAGATCAAGCCCGAAACCTGGGCATGTGCCCTGACCAAGAATGGAACTGGTAAATTCTTGGTTCATGGGTCGATGCTCAACCACTGAGCCACAGCAGTCACACTAATAAGTAAATAAGCTTTTAAGAAGCATGTATGTGTTTATTAAAAATCCTAAAGTTGCCTGGCTGGTGTGGCTCAGAGGTTGAGCGTTGGCCTATGAACTAGGAGGTCACAATTCAATTCTCGGTCAGAGCACATGCCTCAGTTTCAGGTTCATTCCCTAGCAGGGGGCATGCAGGAGGCAGCCAATCAATGATTCTCATCATTGATGTTTCTATCTTTCTCCCTCTCCCTTCCTCTCTGAAATCAATAAAAATATATTTTAATCAATAAATAAAAATAAGTAATAAAAAAAGAATCCTAAAGTCAAATGGGCCTTAGTATTCAGGTTAAAAACCTTCCTCCAATTTCTAAGTAAAATATAAAATTTTATATTTTATGTCTGCATCTCAACAGATCTTTTAAACAGCAAACTAAACCAAAGAATCACTTGGCTCATGGCCCCAGCTGAGATGAAGCTTAACATATGGCTGAACTACATAGTCTGGGTCAGGAAGAAACAAGACAGAAGCACAATTTGTGCTCTAAAGCACGTATGAAACACTATGTGGGGGTGTTGCTATATTACTCCACTCTACAACCAGATCTTCTTGGCAAAGAGTGGTATAATTTTGAACAATCTCAGTCTCATATTATCATGAATATATAAATTGAAGGAAAACATGCACAATATGCAGGATAGAGACCAAAGTAATCCTTTTAGAATGATATTCCATTATTAAAATGTTTCAGTATTTCTATTAGAATATAATTCCATTATTAGTCAAAAGATAAAAATCAGGTGTTCCTGGTGAAGGGTGGGGACTGAGTCATAAGATGGGATACTTAAATTCAATTCTCAATATATATTTGGCTAGTCAAGGTTTTTTAGTTTTCTGCTCAAACTCGAAGTGGTCATTTTCGTAACTGTTTTCCTCCAGTGTGAATTCCATCCTCTCAAGGTAAACTAAAATTTAAAGCACATACAAGATATCATACAACTTAATGACTTAAAGATAGCTGGTTTCAAACCATGAAGAACAAAACTATTGCCCTAGCTGGTTTGGTTTAGTGGATAGTGTTGGCCTGCAGACTGAAGGGTCCCAGGTTCAATTCAGGTCAGAGGCACCTGCCCAAGTTTTGGGCTCGATCCCCAGTAGGGGGTGTGCAGGAGGCAGCCAATCAATGACTCTCTTGCATCATTGATGTTTCTATCTCTCTCTCTCCCTCTCCCTTCCTCTCTGAAATCAATAAAAATATTTTTTTAAAAATAGAACAAGACAATTTTAATTCTATTAAATAAGGTCAACTTCTTCTAGTTATAATAAAGTATGAACGTTACTTATTATATATCCACAGCGTCTGGAAAAAACAGTTTGAAGAAAAAGAATTTTACCTGAAAAGGTGGATAAGAGCTTCAGATTTGCTGGCAATTAACACAATACTAGAATTACATTTTAGAAACAGCAATTATAGGAGAAGAATGGACTCTATGATCGTCTGCTAAAAAATGTGGATACTACTATCTATTTCACAGTTATCTGGAAAATAAAATGAAATTTTATACACACAGTGCTTAGCATAATAAAGGAGAGTTAATAAATATTCAATGAATTTACTAGTTAATCTTCTGGGCCTTGGTCTTCTCACTGTTAAAAATATAGGTTCTTCAGAGTTATTGAAGGAATATATAAAATGTTGTACATAAAGTGCCAGTTAAATACCTAGCATAAGAAAGCACTCACTAAAATGATAAAATGGGATTTGGGAAATTTGTATAGAAAAGATTTCCCCTAAAACTATCTATCTAATGTCAGTGCTCTACATTATTCTCTAATTTCTTGGAAAGGATTAGTAAGAAGCTGAAATCATAAAATGGTTAACTCTTAAAAATTAAGTATGATTGCCCTGGCCGGTGTGCCTCAGTTGGTTGAGCATCATCCCATGCACCAAAAGGGATTTGGTTCTGGTCAGGGTACATGTCCAGGTCGTAGGTTCAATCCCTGGTCAGGGTGCATGGGAGGAAACCAATTGATGTTTCTCTCTCTCTCCCTCTTCCTTCTTCTCTGAAAATCAATAAAAACATTTTTTTTAAAGTAAGCATGATTTTTTTTATCTCATGGGTACCTAACCAATGCTAACTTACAGAGTTAGATAACGGCAAACGTCTCCTTCTGATGAATGTATAAAAACATGAAACATCTTGCACTACTCCTATTATTTTTCTTCTCTCCCCCTCCCCCCGCGCTCTCTTTCTTTCTTTTTTGTTAATCCTCACCTGAGGATATTTTTCCATTGATTTTTACAGAGAGTGGAAGGGAAGGAGAGAGAGAGAAACATCGATGTGAGACAGATATACCAATTGGTTGGTTGCCTCCTGCATGTACCCCGAGCATGGCTGAGGATCAAGCCTGCAACCGAGGTTCACACCCTTGACTGGAATCAAACCCGGAACCCTTCAGTCCGTGGGCTGATGCTATATCCACTGAGCCAAACTGGCTAGGGCAATTTTTCTCATTTTTTTAGATGTGTTCTACTAGTGAGTATTTAATATAACAAAAGTGGAAGGCTATTATTGTACACTAGCTCAAGGGAAATTCCTAACAATATTAGTGGATGCACTTTGCAAAACACCCCAATCTGGGAAAGTATAAGCAGTATGTTCTAAAGACTCATCTGGAGAAATTGCCAAATCTTTACAATAGTGTTTGTTACTGAGAAAAAATTCCTGTTGTGAATTCAGTTGGAGGATGGGAGTCAATTGTACAGCACTTTGTATAATTGGGGGGGAGGAGAAGAGTCACCTGAGATCTGAAAGTGCCATCTTTAAAAGAGATACAAACTGCATGAATTAGTTGTAAAAGATGTATGTAAGGGTGATTGGTTCTACTATGAGCTCAGAGTCAGTAAAACCTAACTTGGTGAGGCAAGAACAAAGAAATGCAGCCCTGGCTGGTGTGGCTCAATTGGTTGGAGCATCATCCTGTGCACCAGTCAGGGTGAATACGGGAGACAACAGATCAATGTTCCTCTCTCACTTTGGTGCCTCTCTCTCTCTCTCTTTCTCTCCCTCCATCATTCTTCTCTCTCTCTCTAAAATCAATAAAAACGCCCTAGCCGGTTTGGCTCAGTGAATAGAGCGTCAGCCTGTGGACTGAAGGGTCCTGGGTTCGATTCCAGTCAAGGACACATGCCCAGGTTTCGGGCTCAATCCCTAGTGGGGGGTGTGCAGGAGGCAGCCAATCAATGATTCTCTCTCATCATTGATGTTTCTATCTCTCTCCCTCTCCCTTCCTCTCTGAAATCAATAAAAATAATATTTAAAAAAATAAAATCAATAAAAACATTTTTTATAAGAATAAAGAAATGTAAATAAAGAAATAGACAATACCACTGACCAGACCCAATATGTATTTAAGTAATCCTTTTTTCTATCTTTGCCCACAAGCTGTCTCAATTTTCCCCTTTCATTAGAGCATTTCAAAACCAAGTTCTCTAGGTTATGACAATTAATCTCAAAGCAGAGAGTCTAGCATAAATCTGACATTTCTAGAAGTGCAGAATAAAAGATTCTGCAGCTTTCAATTGCCTATTTTAAAGAAAATAAAAGCTGGTTTGTTCACTTGCTCAGCAGCTTTAAAAACAAATACAAAGGTTTCACGCTGTCATAGTTTTATTTTAAAGAACAATACCAGTGAAAGTCAGGTAAGTAATTGAATAACAAAAGCAAGGTAGGAAAATACAAAAGTAAACACAATTTTATACAAGAAATATATTAAGCAATAACTAAGAAAAGCCATCCTATTTTCCACATAAATTAGTCCCAAAGCTAACATTTTGTCCCAATTGTATTCTTTCAATCCCTTCCATGAACACAGAGTACCCACCCCCTTCTGCATGGCTAATGGTACTTGATTTCTAAGAGCTTTAGAAGGTAGCATTCTTTGGCCCACTATTCATTTCAGGTGCAGCCCATCATTAAAAATCCCAAAGCATTTCTTATGTAGCTAAACGTGCAGATAAAAACATGTTTCTGTTTGCTCTAGGTGATTAAGGACAAGGTAACAAAAGCTTTAGTTCATGGGGTACTGTAGATTTCATCCATTGGACTAGCTCTAAGAAACTGGTGTTTAGTATAGTTAACCCAATTTTTAGAATAATTAACTTGTTTCTACACTGACCTTTGCTTTTGATCCCAATGAAAGATCAGCCGTATTGTAGCAGCATGTCCCCAACTTTCCCCTGAGGGAAGAAGAACACAATAACTGTATATTGCCTAGGTTATAAGTCTCTCAGAATGCATCTGACTAAATACAGTTTTACTTTGCTTGATTTAACATAATAAGAGTATACTTGATTTCAAATAAAACTGGTATGTCGATAACATCCTGAGATTCATGGATGTTTACATACCTAATAAAATATTGCAGATCAATATCTTCTATTTACTTTTAGAAAACTTTATAGTTTGAATTAACATATTTGTAAATCTTCCATATATTAAGACCAACATATTTCTAACCACCAGAAAAAAAGCAAAAACTCTGAGAGACTATTCTTTAAGATTTTAGGATTAATAAACTTAAAGCATTATATTCTAACAAGACCATGACTGAGGTTAAAAACAAAATAAATCTAATCACTGTAGTGTAATTTGTATTTGAATGGATTCACCCTTACTCCTGCCTAAGACTGTGAGCTTTCTGAAGGCAAGAATCACCATATAAATATTATATGTTCAGTACCTGACACAACAGTTTCTATATAGTAGATGCTAAATTAATGTTTGTTAACTGAAAGGATGAGTCAAGATCTAAGGGCACAGTGCTCTGTGCTAAGATTTTTCAGTGAATAAGACACATACAGTCTCTGCTTTCATGAAGTATACCGTACTCAATAAGCATCAAATTAAAGAAGTAGAGAAAATGTGTTTAACTGAAAATGTTTATCGGATTATTACTCACCCAATGCAGGTATCAGCATGGCCTGATTTTTATCAATCTTTGTTGTCATCTGATTAGTTAAAATTACCTACAAAAACAAAATGTGAGAAAATTAGATGAGTCTCCCCTAAAACTTACCAAGTAAATAGTCTTGTGATTTTATTATTCTGAAAATAATCTAATTTAAAGAAATATTATTTAGGTAATGAAAACCTTTCTGATAGTATTTTTAAAACTTACCCATAAAAATAAATAGTTATCTGAAAACATGTCTACCGAACATAAAACTTTTTTTTAAACAAACAAGAACAAAGAAGTTCTTTGTTGTGAAAATGGAAGAATTTATCCTATCTAATACAGTGGGGCCTTGACTTATGAGTTTAATTCGTTCCGAGACCGAGCTCGTTAAGGAGCTCGTTAACTCAAATTACTCTATCAACTCAATGCAAAAAATCGGCCGAGAGACAGCTGGTATCTCAAAAAACTCGTTAGTCGGGACACTAGTAAGTCAAGGCCCCACTGTAATAGACAAACATGGTAATTGACCGTACCTTCGCTATGCCTCCCATTGGCTAATCAGCATGATATGCAAATTAACCACCAACAAAGATGGCGGCTAATTTGCATACTGCAGGCAGATCGTGCTCTGCCGCCCCGCCTGGGGCTGGCGGCAGCTTGATCCCAAGCTGCTGGCCGCCCCAATGCAAGATCCTGGCCTGCCGTGTGTGGGGTGGGGTGAGCGGGGCGAGCGGCAGCGCAATCCCCAGCCACCGTCCGCCCCAGCGCGGGATCCGGGTCTGCCATCTGCGACCGGGGGAGACGAGGCAGACACTGCGGGATTGGGTGTGCCAACTGCCACCAGGGGAGCAGGCCTAAGCCAGCAGGTGGTTATCTCCCGAGGGGTCCCAGACTGTGAGAGGGCACAGGTTGGGCTGAGGAACCCCACCCCCCCACCAGTGCACAAATTTTTGTACACTGGGCTTCTAGTATATATATATAAAAGCGTAATATGGAATTCGATCTGACGGCAGAACAACCAGTCGTTATGATGCACACTGACCATCAGGGGGCAGATGCTCAACGAAGGAGCTGCCCCTGGTGGTCAGTGCACTCCCACAGCAGGAGCACTGCTCAGCCAGAAGTGGGGCTCACGGCTGTCGAGTGCAGTGGCGGTGGCCGGAGCCTCTCCTGCCTCTGTGGCAGTGCTAAGGAGCGGCAAGCCAAGTGGTAAGGAGTGAGCAAGTGGGTGGTTAGAAGCAAGGGGTCCCGGATTGCAAGAGGGCACAGGCCGGGCTGAGAGACCTCTCCCCTAACCCCCGCACAAATTTCATGCATCAGGCCTCTAGTAAAGATATAATAGATAATAGATAATGGCCTAAAGAGAGCATGAACAAAAACTTCATAAATGCGAGAATCAGAAAAATCCAAGCTTTTAAATTTAAGTTTTGTATAAGCCAATAGGAACAACTAGTCCAACAGCAGTAATAAACATTTTTGAGTACCTAATACATGCCAGAAACCATGCTAAGTGCTTTACCTTCATTATCGTATCTAATCTCCACAACTACTCTATGAATGAGGTATTATTATTATTATTCCAATTTAACACATAATAAATCAAAAGCTTAGAAAGATTGAGTCTGTGCTCTTTAGCACTGTGGCCTCTCTGGAATATATTTATTCAAAAGAATATAAAGTTCTTAATAACTCAATGCTTACATTTTTAGGGAAGAAATAAATACAGAATTATGATTTATGATTTTACAGAAATAAAAAAGAAACCAAGGCAAAGAATTATGAGAAGAGACCTAAAGTCAAAGAATGTACAGTAAAAGTAGAAGAACTGCAGGAAAATAAAACACAGTAATCAGATCAAATGACCCCAAATTGTGACAATGCTAGTCTACTAATAATAGATACAGATGTACGTTAGTCACAGATGGCACTAAAGACTAAAAATATTGCTAATTCTTTTGGAGTAAATAGTGGCCTATAGAAAAAATCCCATGTTATGAAAGTAGTAGCTTTATAGTAGAGAAAATGAATGTGTTTGAGGCTGATTTAGTACAGTAAAAATCAGATTATCTGGCACATTTTTATCCAAAATTCTCCAGAAATGGTTATTTTAAATATTCTTCCAATACAGGTCTTCCCTCTAGATATAAGATTGATACTACTGCAAGCTGAAACTGATACAGAACTTCTAAAAGGACTCTCTTGCCTGGCCAGCATGGTTCAGTGGTTGAGCATTGACAGATGAACCGAGAGGTCATGGTTCATTTCCTGGTCAGGGCACATGCCTGGGTTGCAGGCTTGATCCCCAGTGTGGGGCATGTAAGAGCAGCCGATCAATGATTCTTTCTCATCATTGATGTTTCTATCTCTCTCTCCCTCTCCCTTCCTCTCTGAAGTCAATAAAAATATATTTAAAAAATTAAAAAATAAAAGGACTCTTTCTACATCAGCATGGCAAAGACTTAAAAGACTCAAAATTGGTAAAGATGTGGAAAAACAAGAATTCTCATCCATTGCTGAAGACAACATACTTTGGAACACATTTTCTGAGGATAATCCTATCTAATAAAAGACAAACAGGGTAATTGACCATACCTTTGCTACGCTTCCCATTGGCTAATCAGGGTGATATGCAAATAATAAATTAGACACAAAGAGATAGGAAGTATCTTATCTAATATTAGACAAACATGGTAATTGACTGTACCTTTGCTACGCTTCCCATTGGCTAATCAGGGCGATATGCAAATTAACTGCCAACAAAGATGGTGGTTAACCGCCAACAAAGATGGCAGTTAATTTGTATACGTAGGCGCAATGCTGGGAGGCGAAAGGAGAAGGACAGAGGAAGCCGCCTGCCACTGACGGTGATCGGAAATCCAGGCTGCAGGCAAGAGCCCTGCCCCCCGGCCCTGGATCGGAGAACCGGGGCCGCCTTTGCCCGCCCCCCAGCCGGTGATCGAGATCGGAAAGCCGGGCCGCAGGCAAGGCGGCACCCCCGGGACCCAGGAGCCCGTGAGGTCTGCAGGTGAAGCAGCGATCAAGCTATGAGGGGGAGGGTGGGGGGCGAAAGGAGCTATAGGAGCAGCTCTGGCCGGAGACTGAAGACTCCCGCCGGAGCGAGGAGCAAAGACTGAAGGCTCCAGCCAGAGTGAAGACTGTGTCCAGAGCGAAGATGGAAGGCGATGGCCAGAGTAAAGGTCTGGGTCCCGGGTGCCAGAGGAAAACTGGTGCCAGAAGCCAGGGGAAGGGAAAGCCTATTGCACGAATCTTTTCGTGCAACAGGCCTCTAGTCTATATATAAAAGCCTAAGCGACCAGCCAACCGGCCAACTGGTTAACTGGCCGACCAACAAGTAGCTATGATGCACACTGATCACCAGGGGGCAGATGCTCAACACAGGAGCTGTCGAGCTGCGTTCACTTGGCAGCTGCGGTTCTTGGGTGATGCGCTGGAACCAGACAGGAGGGAGTCCGATTCCAGGGTGTGTCACCAAGAACCACCTTCTCACAATCTGAGACCCCTCAGGGGATGTCGGAGAGCCAGTTTTGGCCCGATCCCCGCAGGCCAGGTCGAGGGACCCCTCCAGTGCACAAATCCGTGCACCAGGCCTCTAGTTTGATAATATATAACAAAATGGTTTAAACAGATATTCCTTTGGCTTAATACTTTCAGAAATAACTGGACGAATGGACAAAGAAGTATATGTAAAGTTGTTGATTGCAGTGTTTTAAATTATGAAAAACTGGAGTCAACTTTAAAGATAATCAATAGGGAAGTGGTTAAAAAAACTTCTACAATCATACAACAAAATACTATGTAGCTAAGGTAAGGTAAACTTATATAGTAACTAGAAGCCCAATGCATGACTTTGTGCACCAGTGGGGTCCCTCAGCCTGGCCTGCGAGATCGGGCTGAAACCAGCTCTCCAACATCCCCCGAGGGGTCCCAGATTGCGAGAGGGCGCAGGCCAGGCTGAAGGACCCCACCGGTGCATGACTGGGGCCAGGGAGGAATGCAGGAGGTTGGCCAGCCGAGGAGGGACCGCATGGGGGCTCCAGGGCCATCTCGCTCAGTCCTGATCAGCCAGACCCCAACAGCAAGCTAACCTACCGTTCGGAGTGTCTTCTCCTTGGTGGTCTGTGCACATCATAGTGACTGGTGGATCAGTTGACTGTCTGCCCCCTGGTGGTCAGTGCACATCATAGCGAGCGGTTGAGTAGTCTTAGCATATCATTAGCATATTAAACTTTGGTTGGTTGAACGGACAATAGATGACTGGACACTTAGCATATTAGGCTTTTATTACATAGGATATATATGGAAAGATATTTGCAATATATTAAGTGAACAAAATATTGCTTTGCATAATAGCATGCATAATGTGATCTTACTTTAAAACATGTTTATGTATGCATAGAATAAGTTTGGAAAAATATGTACAGCAAACTCAACAATAATCATTTCTGAGTAATAGATAATATAATTGTTTACATTTTGATGATTTATAATTTTTTTACAGCAAGCATATAACTTAAAATTGTAAAATGTATTTATTATCAAAGCTCAGACATGCCTCTATACCTGCTAAGTAAAAAAGAATTTATAAAGTAATAGAGTAAAATATGCCCTTAGCCCCCCAAAAATCTTAGCTCTAGAAATAACCACTGTTGATGTTTTGGTCCTTTCAGTATTTTTCTTCATAGATATAAATGCTCATATATAATTTTTACTTTTCTCAAAAGTGGAATCCATTAACTATATTACTATACAACTTGAATTTTTTCACTTAATCATATATATGGATATCTTGTTTCACGTGAGTTTGCAAATGCTTATATTACTTAAATACTGCATAGTTTTTCGTGTTATTTGCATTACTTTTTAAATGTTTTTTATAATTTTTTTTTATTATGTCCTTTTTTATTGACCTGAGAAAGGAAGGGAGAGGGAGAGAAACAGAAACATCGATGTGAGAGGGTCACTTTGATTGGCCGCCTCCTGCATGATCAAGCCCAAAACCCACAATGTGCCCTGACTGGAAATTGAACCAGCTGCGACCACTCAGTGTATGGGACAACACTCAACCAACTGAACCACATCAGCCAGGGTTGCATTACTTTTTTTAATCAGAAAAGATAGGATATTTTTGTTAAAAACAAACAAAAACCTAAGGAACTATGGCAACTCAATAGTCTTGAGTGCCCCCTAGTGGGGGTTCTTCATGTATATTAACAGAATGCATAAAATTACGTACAAATTAATGGGAAAAAATAATTCAAAGACGGGATACTATGCTTTTCAGTATATGACAAAAAAATCTAATAGCTCAAAAGAAAAGATGTAAGTTTTGAAATTATTTTATCAAGGAATTCTTTATTTACTTATGATGTATTACAGGCATGTGCTAAGGACTCTGGGTAAAGATAAGAAAATCAAGTTAAGCAGTTTGACCTCCCATCTCCCTCACATATAAGTGTGTATATTCGTGTCAGTGGTGGAATAGGGTTGCAGAATGGGAAGTGCTGGCAAACACAATAAAAAAAAGTTTTTAACTCCTTTTTATCTCTTCACTTTTGAACTTACCTTTACCTTTCTTCTCACATTTCAAATCTAAGAGTTACCTCCACCTCCAAACATCTTGGCTCTTTACAATATGTCATTTTCCTATCCATCTGAGTCTGTGATTATACATTATGTAATAATCAAAGACTCAAATTAAAAGAAAAATGGGAATGTTGGAAGAGCTTACCTAAAACACATCAAGTATATTTAGACAAAGAAAACACTGCAATTACCAAAGTCCATTTTTAAAATATGGCACCTTAATTATGCTTAATTCTTTTCCAGGAAAACCGATAAACAACACTTATGACTGGAATTAATTTTTTATAATAACAAAGCCAAAACAAAACTACATTTAAAACTATGTGTACATTAATATGTCCTTTTTTATTGACCTGAGAAATTCTATTCTGCTACTTGTAGGCATTAATATTTGATACAATCTTCTTAACTATTATAGAATTCTCTTAACTAATTATACTTACAGCTAATCTGTGATTATTTGCAAGGCTGATCATTTGCTGGGCTAGGCCATTTAGTAATCGAGTTCGAAGGGATAAGTCATCAAAGTCATGACGAAAAGGAAAAGCAATACCATCCACTATCACTAATCGAACCTAAATACAGAAGAAATAATGATATTAGGTTTGGTATTAAAAATAAAATTGATATTAAAAAATCACAGCCCATTGTATATAAAAAAAAACCTTAATGCCCTAGCTGGTTTGGCTCAGTGGATTGAGCGTCGCCTGCGGATTCAAGGGTCCCAGATTCGATTCCAGTCAAGGGCATGTATCTTGGTTGCAGGCACATACCCAGTAGAGCGTGTGCAGGAGGCAGCTGATTGATGTTTCTCTCATCGATGTTTCTAACTCTCTATCCCTCTCCCTTCCTCTCTGTAAAAAATCAACAAAATATATTTTTTAAAAAATAGATATACAGGATTTAACAATTTTTTAAAAATAAATAAATAAAAACCCTTAAAATCCAGTTTTTTTCCCAACTTTACAAAGGCTTTATTTTGGATATATCTATTAATCCAATGCTTTTTATTTATTTATTTTTTTAATCCTCATCCGAGGATATTTTTCCATTGATTTTAGAGAGAGTGGAAGAGAGAGGGAAAGACAAAGAGAAATATCAATGTGAGAGAAACACATTGATTGGTTGCCCCTGCACGCGCCCTGACTAGGACTAGGGCCAGGGCCAGGGCCAGGGCCGGGGAGGAGCCTGCAACAGAGGTACATGCCTTTGACCAAAATCAAACCCAGGACCCTTAGATCCACAGGCCGACCAAACCAGTTAGGACATCCAATGCTTTTTTAAAAAATGTTTGTATTGATTTCAGAGAGGAAGGGAGAGAGAGAGATAGAAACATCAATGATAAGAGAGAATCATCAATCGGCCACCTACTGCATGCCCCCTACTGAGGATCAAGCCCTCAACCCAACCATGTGCCCTGACTGGGAATCAAACTGTGACGTCCTGGTTCAGGTTGATGTTCAACCAGAGACATACCAGCTGGGCCAATTCCTTTTTTTTTTTTAAATCCTCACCCAAGGATATTTTTATTGATTTTGGAGAGAGGAAGGGAGAGAAGAAAGAAAAAGAGAGAGAGCGATAGAGAGAAGAAACATCAATCAGTTGCCTCCTGCAGGCGCCCTGACCAGGATTGAACCCAAAACCTACGTATGTGCCCTGACTGGGAATTGAACCAGAAACCTCTAATGTGTATAGGATGCCACTCCAACCAACTGGGCCACCTGGCTAGGGAAATTCATCCAATGCTTTTGTATTAATTACCAGAAGTTAAAATGTACTCTGGTTTGATAATTTATCCACTTAAAAAAGTAATTCAGCAAAAAGAAAAAGGAGCACTTACAATTTTCTTATCACAAGATCTTTTACAGGGGTATTTTATTGACAAAAATTAAAAAGCCCTTTTTAAGTCTTAGTTAAACAAATTTCTCAGTTAAATACATTAGTTTTTACCTTCAGGATTCCTTCATCTTTTCAAATATTAAATTATCACACCTTCTTCAAAAACTTAATGGTATACTTTTCCCCCTTAATTTTAAACATACTATAGGGCAACTAACCACTACAGAATCTATTATAATGCAGAATTCAGCATGATGCAATTCGGTCTTAAATTATAATCAGCAAGGTTTACTTACAGATGATAAACATTTTCATGACAGTTTCAGTTCTAATATAATCCAAATAATGGCACCTAGAGTGAAGTTAGAGTAAACAAATGAAAAAACTGTAAGAGCCCTAACAGGTTTGGCTCAATGGATAGAGCGTCAGCCTGCGGACTCAATGGTCCCGGGTTAGGTTCCAGTCAAGGGCATGTACCTTGATTGTGGGCATAAGCCCAGTGGGGGGGGTGCAAGGGGCAGCTGGTCGATGTTTCTCTCTCATCGATGTTTCTAACTCTCTATCCTTCTCCTTTCCTCTCTGTGGAAAATCAATATATTTTTTTTTAAACTGTAAGATATTTTTTCTATCTAATAAGGATTAGGCTAAAGAAGAGGTTTTTGTGAAGTAATGTACAAGCCATTTTCATATCTTTTACTTAGAGTATTCATCCAGCAAATATTTATTGACATCTACTATATGCTAGTCACTGTTACAGACACTGCAGAACAAGTTCTCTTGCAGTTTATGTACTAGTGGAGTAAGAGACAATTAACATACAAACACATACTGAATAAAACAATTTCTGATAATGATAGGAGTTATGAAGACACTAAAACTGAATAAAATGACAAAGAACGAGTAGCTGTTAAGGTAGAGGGAGGCTAACTTAAATTAAATGTGAGGGAAAGCATCAATGAGAAGTCAGGCAACAGAACTGAGTCCTGGATAAGAACCTTTTGGAGGGAAAGACAATCTATGTATAAGGAGTCAGAAGGGCAAAGGACCTAATGCACAAACAAGTTTGGCATGTTTAAGGGTCAGGAAAAAATGTAGTGAGAGGGAATGATAGTAAATTATATCAGGAAGGTACAGTGGTGAGCTAAAGCCAAATCCTATAGGCTAGTAAGCCAAGCTAAATTTTCAGAAATTTTGCAAATCAGTAATTAAATAAAGCCATTAAAAATAAAACTATATAAATTTTATGAATAAATAAGTCATATAAGTATTTGGATAAAATAAAATACGAATAATAAATACTAAAAAATCACTCCTTCCTAATTTTTTATATTTTACTATTATCTATGCTCTTTAGATCATTTGCACCTATTTTATCTTTATAGTGGAAATACTACATAGTGATGTGCTACAATACAGTGTTTCTTCTCTACTCTACATTCAGTAAGCTTGAAATCAGCCACCATAGGAGGATTTTCTACATAGAAATCAGCAAATAAATCAGCTACAGATCAGAGCTTGATTTGTCTTGCTGATTGTCTAAACTTTTAATAAAGTAATGGGGAAAATGTCAAAATCATATTGATCTTAAAAATATGTTGTGTCTGTACCCATTACATTGTGAACTACACAAAAATTGAGGACATATTCTTCTATTGGAAAACTAATGAATTAACTAGGTATTAGTTAATTTGATTAGCTCAAATCAACAAAAAAATATTCCACAGGAAAACTCCATATAATTATAGGTTTTGACACCAGGATATTTGCAGGGAGCCCTAAATACCAGGCATCCAAGGACCTTTCTGCTCATGCCAGAGGAGCTGTATAGCCTAACCTCCAATGGACAAAAAGAATGGAAATTTGTTTTTCCTCTCCACAGTCCAGATTTTACTGAAAGTGGCTAAATTAGAGAGATGTGGACCTTCTGCTAAGTGGTAACTATTCACACTGACAGCTTTCCCAAGTTTAGGATGGAAGTTCTTAAAGATGGTCTGGTAAATTTCCTTGATTTCTCAAAAGGGAGAGTATACTGAAGGTAGAAAGCCAATGAATTACAGAATGAGTAGGATAAAACAGGGCTTGTCATTAAACTCATAAAAGCTGAAAGTAAAACATTACCAAATGGGGCCCTGGCCAGTGTGGCTCAGTTGGTTGGGCACCATCTGGTGCACCAAAAAGTTGCTGGTTCGGTTCCTGGTCGGGGAACATGCTCGCCTGGGTTGCGGGCTTGATCTCCAGTAGGGAACGTGCAGGAGGCAGCAGATCAATGTTTTCCTCTCACATCTATCTTTCTTTCTCCCTCTCCCTTTTCCTCCCTCCCTCTCTCTCTAAAAATCAATTTAAAAGTCTTTTAAAAATACATATAACCGTTAATATTGCAATCCTAATACTTAGCATTTATCCCATAAACATACTCACAAATGTACCCCAAGAGATATGTGTAAGGTTATCTCCAAAACATTGCTAATAATAGCACTAAAAGTCCACCAACAAAGAATTGGTTTAATAAATTAAGGTACCTACCCCGCCCCCCAACCATTTTAATTGTAGTAAAATACACATGACAGAAAAATTTACCATCTTAATCATTTTATGTGTACAGTTTAATGATATTAAATATATTTATAATGTTTTGCATCTCTAGAACTCTTTTCATCTTCTAAAACTAAAACTCTATACCCACTAAACAATAACTCCCATTCTTCTCTTCTCCCCGGGCCCTGGCAACCACCGTTTTACTTTCTGTCTCTATGACTTTGACTACTCCTAATACCTCATAAGAGCATATATAGCTTATTACACTTAGCATAGAGTCCTCAAGATTCATCCATATTGTAGCATGTGTCAGATTTTCTTTCCTTTTTAAGGCTGAATATATTCCTATGTATGTATGTATGTATGTATGTATGTATGTAGCACATTTTGCTTATCTAGTCATCCATCAATGGACACTTGTGTTACTTCCATGTTCTAGCTACTGTAAATAATCCTGCTGTGAACATAAATGTGTGAATGTATAAGTGTCTCTTCAAGACCCTGCTTTCAATTCTTTTGGCTATATACCCAGAAGTGGAATTGCTGTATTATATGGTAGTTCTATTTTCAATTTTTTGAGGAACTCACATACTGTTTTCTACTACAATTATACCATTTTACTTTCCCACCAACAGCAAAAAAGTACCTTCTTAAAATGAAATATGCAGCTGAAAAAAGAATAAGGTCTACCTGTATGTAATGATACAGAAATATACGCAAAACACTAAGCCAAAATGGAAGGTGCAGAACAATAATACAGTATAATCCCATGAACAAATGTTAAAAATGAGGAACTAGATATTATAATATGTATAAAAATTTTTTGAGAAGACACACAAGAAACTATTAATAGTGGTCAACTTTGGGGAGAGGTACTAGGAAGCAATAGCAGAAGGGAAATGTTATTTTTCATTTTATACCACTCTATACAGTTTGTTTGATAGGAGCTATTCCACCATTACTAGGGTGGAACCTCTTTTTATATTATTTCAATTTCTTACTTTAGGTATAGTATTAATATATACATGCTAAATAAATGTAAACATAAATAAATTATAGGGCAAGGAATAAATAAATTTTCTGAATTGGCTTAACCAGACACTTCCTAAGAAATATTAGTTACATTGGTAAATTATATTTCAGTAGCTTGAGCCATACCTTTGAATGTTCTGAAAGGAATTCTGAAAGTAGATAAACTTGTGCCAGTAGTTCTGTGTAGTCATGACAACGAAAATAATAAATATGGGAAAGAATGTTTTCAAGAGTGAAATTCTCCAAAGCCTTTGGGTGTGCTAAAATAAACAACAAAACAATCTTAAAATAATTAGTTACCTGTTTTGATATATTGGTGACTAAAGAAAAACAATACCTTTGAATAACAAAATTCTTCACTCTGAACAAAACTCTAGACTTTATTTGAAAGATGACAAAATTTTAGCAAACTCACTATAAACTATCATTTCATAATTCCTGTCCTCTTCTTTCATCCTTTCCACTGTTTCCTTACATACTAGGCCAGTGATGGCGAACCTTTTGAGCTCGGTGTGTCAGCATTCTGAAAAACCCTAACTTAACACTGGTGCCGTGTCACATATAGAAATTTTTTGATATTTGCAGCCATAGTAAAACAAAGATTTATATTTTTGATATTTTATATATTCATATATTTAAATGCCATTTAACAAAGAAAAATCAACCAAAAAAATGAGTTCGCGTGTCACCTCTGACACGCGTGTCATAGGTTCGCCATCACTGTACTAGGCTATCTAGAAACTGTTTATACACATATACAACTAGTTTTTAATGCCTGTCTTTTCATATTTCTAGTTATTGGCTTCCACTCAATAGAAGTAACATACTGGAATTTCTCTTTCTTGTTTTTTTTTTCCATAGGATTACAAACTAACAGTTAAAAGGAAAAATGTTCAAAAGAAGTATTTTCCCCCCTTAAATGATATAGTGTAACTTGGTAATTTAAATAGAACCAATGATATAAAATGAAATTCCCTACTTAGATTGGATTTAAAAAATAAGCAGTTTGGAAACCAGAAACACCAATCAGAAAGGATATATGCATCCCTATGTTCATAGCAGCACAATTTACAATAGCTAAGATATGGAAACAACCTAAGTGCCCATCAGCAGATGAGTGGATTAGAAAACTGTGGTACAGAAGAGGAACCAAGATGGTGGCATAGGTAAACACCTGTACTTGCTGCCTCTCACAACCATATCAAAATTACAACTAAAAGACAGAACAATTATCATCCAAAACCTCAGGAAAGCTGGCTGAGTGGAAGTTCTACAACTAAAGAGATAAAGAAGAGAGCGCATTGAGACTGGTAGGAGGTGTGGAGGCACTGAACGGGCTGGCATCCAGGTGCACTGCTTTTTTAATCAGGAGGGAGATACAAACTCCCGCTTGCTCTGAACTCCAGTTCCAGGAGAGACTCAGGGGGACCCAGACACATACAGAGAGAAACTGGACTGTCTGGCATCAGGACAGGAACGAAGGGAGGCTTTCTTTCAGACGGAGGTGTTGGCATCCAGGTGCACTGCTTTTTTAATCAGGAGGGAGATACAAACTCCCGCTTGCTCTGAACTCCAGTTCCAGGAGAGACTCAGGGGGACCCAGACACATACAGAGAGAAACTGGACTGTCTGGCATCAGGACAGGAATGTGAGGGAGGTTTTCTTTCAGACGGAGGTGCGGAGGTGTGCGCAGTGATCACTATTCCTGCCTGGGAGAATCTCCAGTGCAGGGCTGCCTGGCAGCCATTGCTGTTTGCTCTGCCCTGGTGATTCCCTGAGACCCGGCCCACCCAATTTACAACCCCATCCAAACTATGTGCAGCAGCTTTTGCATATGAATGGCCTGTTCTTTCTCAGCCTAAAACCCGTCAAACAGGCAGCAGCTGGGTCAGGGAGCCCCAACAATCAATCCCCAGCAGCAGCCTGCCTTGCTACACAGCTGGGCCTCATCTGGGCACTTCCAAACCCAATACAAAGAGGAGGAATCTGCAGATCTTTCTGTAGCTCCTGCTGGGTGACCCCAGGCAGTGGCTGACTCTGCACATCCTTGGAGATCCAAGAGCCAGTGTACCCAGTGGTCAGTGTGAGACCATACCAGATTATAACTCTTCACATCCATAAGTGACACACTCAAGGGGCAGACTCAGTGAGCACCAGCGCCCCACTGAAGCAAGTCCTGTCCCATAAGGGTGTCTCCTGCACAGAAGCTCTTCCACTGCAGACACAGTTGGTCCTCACAGCCAATTGGCCTGGAAGTCAATTCCTCCCAGTGATACCAACAGCAATCAAGGCTTAACTACAACAAGATTGTGCACGCTGCCCACAAAGGGGTGCACCAAGAGTATCCACCTCAGGTGACTGGGGAGGCTGAGCCACCAGGCCCTATAAGACACCTAGTACACAAGGCTACTCTATCAATTCAAGCAGACTAGCAGCTACCCAATACATAGAAACAAACACAGGGAAGCAGCCAAAATGCGGAGACAAAGAAAGATGTCACAAATGAAAGAAATGGATGAAAGGAAAATACTGCTGATTACAAACATTTAAAGGAAATACAAGCATATATGAAAAGCATTGTTTTTTGAAACATCTAGAGAAAAGACTAAAGACTGTACATCCAAAGAATAAGATAAAACAAAGCCAATTTTTAAAAAAGTCAAACCAGAAACCATTTAATTTTATAAGAAACTGAAAGGATGTGAACTTGAATATGAATTACCTTTACTTTTTTTTTTAATATATTTTATTGATTTTTTACAGAGAGGAAGGGAGAGAGATAGAGAGTTAGAAACATCGATCAGCTGCCTCCTGCACATCTCCCACTGGGGATGTGCCCGCAACCAAGGTACATGCCCTTGACCGGAATCGAACCCGGGACCCTTCAGTCCGCAGGCCAACGCTCTATCCACTGAGCCAAACGAGTTTTGGCTACCTTTACATTTTTAAAAAAACTTCCTTTCCACATAATAAGTACAAAAAACTTCCAAACACTTTAGCAATACAATTAACATAGTCATGAAGTCATTTACATACTACTCATAGCCCCATAGGTCAATCAGCTTAATGTTCCAAATACTTCCAAACATAGTTTTTGTTTTTGGAAAAACCAGTATGAAAGTCAAAACACTAAATGCACTGAATATAGTGAGTGCGTTGAGACAATACTTATAGTAAAGTTCCAACAAAATTAGTTTACACCTGGCAGGTCAAAGTATGATTTGAAGTCATACACTGAAATACATACACAAATTTTGCCTTAGAGCTCCTGCAGTGAGGGCCATAAAAGGGGAAGAACAGGCCAATTCAGATTGTGGCATTTCTAATTTTTAAGAAGGCTATGAGAATTTAACACCACTACATTATCAAGTCATTAAGCTTCACTTCAGATGAGTACAAATGCAAATTTCTTTTACTATACAGAAAAAAGAGAATCACTTGCTAACTTACCCTCTTCCATACTTGTTCCTGCTATAAGCTGAAGGTGCTGAATGCAGGCAGTCGCAAGGTCTATCACTCTATCAACCATAAAACTTCCCTCTGTATCAATAAAAACTGCTTCACCTTCCACTCCTCCAAAACATTCTGGTATCTGCACATCTACTGCCAACTGCATACTATCAAGAGAAAGAAGTCAAACAAATCATTATAATGATCTTCTAACAGTGTTTTTCAAACTCCAGATCACGAAATGTTTTATAAATGCAAATATACATCCCAGACAAGAGAGATGGCTGCTTCGCCATGGCTCCAAATACAGGATGGGGCTAAAGCAGAATTACAATTGTGAGTACAAGAAAGTTTATTCTTGTATTATTATTTACTAGAGGCTGATGCATGAAATTCGTGTACTCGGGGCGGGGGAGAGGGGTCCCTCAGCCCGGCCTGCACCTTCTTGCAGTCGGGAGCCCTAGAGGATGTCTGACTGACGACTTAGCACTGCAGCAGAGGTGGGAGAGACTCCCACCACTGCGCTCACCAGCATTGAGCTTGGCTTCTGGCTGAGTGGCACTCCCCCTGTGGGAGCACACTGACCACCAGGGGGCATTGAGTGTCTACCCCCTAGTGGTCAGTGCACATCTAGCGACCAGTCATTCTGCCGCATCTAGCGACAAGTCATTCTGCCGTTCGGACAATTTGCATATTAGCCTTTTATTATATAGATTATATTATTTTCCATACAAACTATTGTAAACTTACTATTTTTATTATTAAAAGTTTTACCTTGTATTATTTATTATACTAGAGGCCTATTGCACGAAAAGATTCGTGCAATAGGCCTTCCCTTCCCCTGGCTGCCGGCACAGGTTTTCCTCCAGCACCTGGGACCCAGGCCTTCGCTCCGGCCAGAGGCGCCTCCAAGCCTCTCGTGGCTCCAGCGGCCGGAGCCGCCTTCAGTCTTCGCTCCGCCGCTTCGAGCCTATGTATGCAAATTAACCGCCATCTTTGTTGGCGGTTAATTTGCATATCTCGCTGATTAGCCAATGGGAGGCGTAGCGAAGGTACGGTCAATTTCAATCTTTGTCTATTATTAGATAGGATTATTTTCCATAAAAACTACTGTGAGACCCACCCTGTATATGTGAATCAATTGATTCTTGGATTAGGAAAAGGGTGTGCCCATAAAATCATGATTAAGGAATTTTAGTGGTTTTTTTAGGCCTCTGGAAATGGAACCCTTTCTTACTATATATAAATCTACTTTTTTAAGTCTCAGATTTTTTTTTTAAGTAAGTTTTTATTGATTTTTGAGAGAGGACAGAGAGATAGAAACATTGATGAGAAAGGAACTTCATTGATCAGGTGCCTCCTGCATGCACCCCCACTGGGAATGGAGCCCACAATCTGGGCATATGCCCTGACCAGGAAGCCAACTGGCAATTTCTTGGTTCCTAAGTCGATGCTCAACCACTGAGCCACAGCAACCAGGCTCTACTTTCAAATGTTTGATTTTCAAATATATTCTCTGGAATTAATTATGTAATAAAGTAGAAGACTGCTTTCTTATCCTAACGACTACATAACAGTGTTGTAAAAGAAACACTTTTTATATCCAAAGAATCATATCAATTTATCAAAATGGAATGCTAAAGTAACACAAATATTAAGTCGGTTTTTGTTTGAGGCATGTACGCAAACACAAAAATTTGTGAAGACATACATTTCTTTTTCGGTCTGATTATAGACCCATAGCACAATACTCTATTACTTACATAAAATGTTAAGCCCACCCTTAAGAAGGGAACATTTTAGTTTACCATAACTGTGTTTTTCCAACACCTGGTGCACCACAAATTTCTGTTGTTTTGGTTAAGGGTACTCCACCCCCAAGAATATTATCGAGTGCTGAACAGAAGGTAATTATAAAGTTCTGGGTATGCTCCTGCTCAAGAAGATCCAATGCTGTACATTTCTTGCCTGACTCAGCATGTCTTGGTTTATCTGTGAGACACTCTCTTCTTATAATTTGCAGAGCTTCTAAGGCTTCCTCTTTAGATATCCCAACTTCTGAAAGTAGAGTAAGAAAAAAACACACAGATTTTTGAGAGATTTGAAACAGCATATTATGCTACTTGGTTTTCTTTATTAATTTTAATTTTTAGGTAGCAAGAGTGATTCCAAGAATAGAGAAACATAAAAATGTAACATTCCGCCCTGACTGGTTTGGTTCAGTGGATAGAGTGTCGGCCTGCGGACTGAAGGGTCCCAGGTTCAATTCCAGTCAAGGGCATGTACCTTGGTGTCGAGCACATCCCCAGTGGGGGTTGTGCAGGAGGCAGCTGGTCGATGTTTCTCTCTCATCAATGTTTCTAACTCTCTATCTCTCTCCCTCTGTAAAAAATGAATAAAATATATTTTTTAAAAATGTAACATTCCATGAACTATTTAACCTTTCAAGTTAATAAATGGATTGATGTTTTCTCAGTCCTCACATACTTGAAAAATGTATTACCTCAGAAACAGAATTGAGCCCTGGCTGATTTGGCTCAGTGGCGAGAACATTGGCCTAGGAACTGAAAGGATCCTGGGTTTGATTCATGGTCAGGGCACATGCCCAGGTTGCAGGCTCCGTACCCAGTGGGGGATGTGCAGGAGGCAGCCGATCCATGATTCTCTCTCATCATTGATGTTTCTATCTTTCTCTCCCTCTCCCTTCCTCTCTGAAATCAATTAAAAATATATATATTAAAATAAAATAACAGAATTGAAAAAACTTAAACCTCTAAAGCATTTCTAAGTATCTACAAAATTTCTCAGGACGTAGAAATAAAATGTACTAGCAGTCAATCCTTTTATCTCATTTGGTCTTATGAAGCCATAATTATCTTACTCTCATAAGTATACAAATCATTTTTCAGAAGAAAGTTAAAATGGCCTCCTTAATTGCCTAAAACAAAAATCACCTTTAAAAGAAGTGCATGGCCCTAGCTGGTTTGGCTCAATGAATAGAGAGAGCATCGGCCTGTGAACAGAAAGGTCCTGGGTTCGATTCCAGTCAAAGGCACATGCCCGGGTTGTGGGCTCAATCTCCAGTGGGGGGGCATGCAGGAGGCAGCCAATCAATGATTCTCTCTCATCTCTGATGTTTTTTTCTCTCTCTCTCCCTCTCCCTTTCTCTCTGAAATCAATAAAAATACATTATAAAAATAAAAGAAGTGCATGTGGCCCTGGCCGGTATGACTCAATTGCTTGAAGTGTCCTCCTGCACCCTAAAAGGTGTTAGATTCAACCTCTGGTCCAAGTAGGTAGGTACAAGAGGCAACTGATCAATATTTCTTTCACATCAATGTTTCTCTCTCTCTCACTCTCTCCCTTCCTCTCTAAAATCAATTTTTAAAAAAAGAATTTGCTTTAAAAAAAGTGCATGTTTTATTCATAATAAAAACTTTTCATGGGAACACTGGCATGAAAAATTCATGTATCATTCTATTTAATGAGAATAACTATTTTATGCACAAATATCTTAAACAATATACTTACACTTTCCTTAACTACACAATTTCATTCCTGTCTGATAATCTGGCCTAAGAAGATAAAACAGTAATTACAAAACAGGCTGCTGCCCTGGCCGATGTGGCTCAGATGGCCGGCCGTCATTCCCTGCAAGGAAGGTTAGTGCCTAACTTGTGGGCTCAATCCCTGGTAGAGGGTGTGAAGGAGACAGCAGATCGATGTTTCTCTTTCATCAATGTTTTTCTCTCCCTTCCTCTCTAAAATCAATAAAAACATATTTCTAAAACAAACAAATAAACAAGCTGAGGGGAGAAATAATGGTGAGGATATCACTTAAGAGTTTGATATATCAGTGCTTGATTTGGTAAGGATATAAAATATACATTTGGTGCTAACAAAACACAACAATGATAAGGCAAGGAAAATCCTATCCAATTTAAGAGCTTGGACTCTGGAGTCAAATTACTTGGGTCTGTGAAGCCTGGCCGCACCACTATGTAGTCGCCGTGTTTGGGCAAGTTACATCTTTGCGTCTCAGATTTTTTTCTTCTACAAAATGGATATGAGACAATACTTATAAAAAGCTTGGTAGAAAACCAGGCCATCCAAAATGCTCAATAATTGTTAGCTTTTTAAGAAAATACATTTTTATTGATTTCAGAGAGGAAAGGAGAGGCAGAGTCAGAAACATCAATGATGAGAGGGAATCACCGATCGCCGCCTCCTGCATGCCCCACCCTGGGGATCAAGCCCTCAACCCAGGCATGTGCCCTAGACCGGAGTCGAACCCAGAACCCTTCAGCCCGAAGCTGATGCTCTATCCACTGAGCCAAACCAGCTAGGGCAATCATTAGCTTTTTATTGTTCAGATCCTCATTCCCTTTTTGTAAAACCAACTTGTTGAAAGAAAAAGAGCCCATCAAACTTTGGGGGACACCACGCGAGGTGTAAGATTTAAAACAAATAATTAACATTGGGTCTACATTTAGTTAGTTAGTTAGTTAGTTAGTTATGGCACTC